CGGACAACGGAGCCGGTGGTGGGCCTCCTGCTATGAATATGAGAAGGATCAGTACGTATAAATGTGAGGCAAAATGTAAAATTGAAAAAGTTGGAACCAACAAAATAAGAACTTACGTGCATGATTCCAGGCCTCTAGGAACTCAGTATCATATGCCACCAAGTGCTCGGTCCTGCTATAGAAGAAGTGTTCATAAGGACGGACATCAGCCATGTCGTCTAACTCCCCAGTTAGGCCGCTTGCCCCACGGGGGACCAACTGAATCATGGTACCTCGGACCCTATAGGGAGCGTAGAGAGTCAACACGTGCCCCAGCGTGGTCCCCCTTCGGGCCAACTCCGCTTACTTCATCAGCATCGCCAAAAGTTTATAAAAAGAAGGAACGAGCTGACCATGGCACACCCTATAGTGGAGGCACAAGTCCGCCACTAGCATTGGGAGAGGAAGCCTGAACCCTAGCTTGAAAGGGTAAGCGTAGAAAATGCAATACCCTGGGTGGTCGACATGGACCCTCTCTTCGATCCTAGCAAGGATGATATCAGCACAGCGGGGGATATCCCACTGCTTTCTCAATTGGGAAATGACCACCTCCCCCATCAATGAGGATTCATTCACCTGGTCCTCTCTCTCATCACCGGCAAAATCAGACACCGGACCTCCGGGCAAGGACAAAATGTCATTTACCGACGGGAGCCTATCGATCTTCGCCGATTCGGTGGTCCTTACCACCGTGGATGGTCCTTCAGCTGCTGGAAGGGTCGCCGAAGAAAGATCAGTGCGAGAACTATTCACCATTTCTGATTTATAAATAAGAAACGAACAAGATTCACCAGAAAGCAAACAAAGGTGGTGACTGAATGAAAAACAATGAAGAGTAGCAAAGAGTAATGAAGAACAAAGAAGAGAGTGAACTGAGAATAAAAAGAGTTACTTTTTTTGAAATCTCACTTAATCAAGTATCAAAAAAGTAAGAAGTGAATGATGCAACTCCTTATTTATTGACAAACGCAAGTGACTTTCACGAATTCCAAAATCCATCATTAACTACTTGACCAACCGCAAAACGGTTCAAGTCTACAGTAACATGCGTTATTATGACAGGCGCCATGAAACGGCTCCTCAACTGCCAATCGGCACCCCGCCTTCGTAACGGTTATAACGGTCCGAAATCACTAAAAGGGCATCTCATACATCATGAAACAATAGACGTCTTCCCAGTACACGTCAAGCGTGGTCGTATCCTCCTCGGCTACACGAAACATGGCTATGGCCATTTCCAAAATAAAAATGGCCACGGCCATATAAAAATAAGAATGGCTATGACCATCTCCAAAATAAGATCGGCTACAACCATCTCTAATATAAGAACGGCTACGACCATCTCCAAAATAAGATTGGCTACGACCATTTCCAATATAAGAACGGCTACGTCCATCTCCAAAATAAGATCGGCTACGACCATCTCCAATATAAGAACGGCTATGGCCATCTCTCTAAAACAAGAACGGCTGCGACCATCTCATAAAATATGAACGGTTACGACCATCTTAACTGTATGAATGGCCACAGCCATCCCAGTCCCTCGAAGGAATGCGACTATTGTCATCAAATGTGGATCCATCTCCCGCCATTGACTCTATTATAGCTAAGGCTACTCATGCAAAGTGGTTATGACTGCCAATTCCAACAAAACAATTTTTAGGGCATAAATGGCTGCGGCCATCCTCAGTCACGACCAAGGCAATACTCGACCCCTACCTTCGAGCTTCTCAATGTATAGTCGGCGAAGTCCGCTCATCGAGCTCGGCCAGGACACGACCTCAATAAGCAGAGGAATTATTTTTATGGGTCAAAACTTGACTCCATGATGATTAACGGAGCCAGCCCATTTCTCAAAGCCTATTGCAATTAATAAATGGTGTGGCCATTTATTAACAATGTTATATGGTAATTACCAATTTGATTAACGAGGGTACGATCTGCCCGTCCTTATGAGGACGTCCTCTAAATGTGGTCACGGTCACTCAACGCCAAATGGCAGGGTTCGTAGCTATAAATACTAAGAGAAAGAACCCTAAAAGGGGCTGCTTCTTCTTCTTCTCCACTACTTCTAAGGAAGAAAGAATATTCATTGTAAGGCTCCGAACCTCTCCAAGGAGGGGCAGACCAAATCAATATCAAATTAATAAAAACTCTTCGTTCGCTTACCTTAATGCAATGAATCTACTTCTTATTCCTTTTATTTGGTCTTTGGTTTATTACGATCTGCTATGATTGACCCTTGAATGATTTTTCAATTGTCTTTATGCTTATAAAGTGCACTATAACTTTTGAGCTAAATAGGGTGCATGACCGAAACTTTTGATGTGGTGAATGCTTATACAACTCCATCTAAAGTATAATAGAAATTTCAGAAGCTATTATAAAGATGAAAATATTTATAGAAATGTAATGTAAGTCAAACCTAAGACTCTAGTGGCAATTAGTAAATGCTTGGCCCATACCCAAATCAGAAGTTGTAGCATGTTAGCCTAATGAAAGTTAGCACAAGGTGATGACACTCTGAACACCCACCAAAACCTAAAAGCACTGTCTTAAAATTTTGAGATATATAGATGGATACTTGGACAAAAACTCCCTCAATATGCTTTGATAAACAATCTTACTGGTTTAGAGCTTTCTTTATAAAATATAGAAAATAAGGTCACATCAAACAACTGATTTGTTTCCTCTTTACTGAAGTATATAATAAGCACTGCAATTGTTTGATATACTTGTGTGTTGTTAAGTCTGTTTGGCAGCTATTTTAGCTGAATATATATTTTTTCGATGTTAAATATGTACAATGATAAATATGATCAACAAAGGTGATTGCGTAGCCAGTGACTCATGGATGACAGATCAAGAAGTCAGGTATTATGACGATATCTGCATTTGAAACAAGTATAGGAGGAGTTTCACTATTTTATAATTCATGCCTCCATAATACTCAACTTGAATATCTCGACTGAATCTTTAATTTGTCTACATTGTTCAGAATGCACTATAGATTGTAGAAGTAACTATATTGAAGTTACTCATTTTTAATAGAGTATTCAGCTATAACTGAAAAAAATTATGATCATGTACTCGGTTATAAAAAGCAACAAATAGGTGTTGACACTCTCTTTTTATTGTTTCCTCTGTCTTCTTTTTGTCCCTTGCCCCAAACTTTAGTCTTAGCTTCCTTTGGATCTTTAATTACTTACATTAATTGTGTTAAGTATAATTTTTCTTTAATTTAACAGTGGTTGACTTGTGAAGAGAATAAGGTGCGAGCTAGAGAGAGTTCGTCTCATTTGATATTTAAATGCTTAATCATTTGCATGACACATCAACACTTAATACTAAGTGGTAAGCAATTAAACTCTTCATAAAGTGACTTGAAGTAAACAAATATTTATTACTTATTTAATTATTGAAATTTTATTTATCAATTTATTCATTGAGTCAAGTACTAATTTTGTGAGTATTAATTATAGGTAAAAATATATTGATGTATAGTCTTTGAATGAATAATTTCAGAGAACAATAAAATTTTACTTTCACTTCCCCACTATCCGCTATGAAACTTCTTGATTAAGATGTCGCATTCTAAGTTGTTGTTATCCAAACTAAGGCTGCAAGAGCAGATGCTTGAATCTAGTAGTTTATGTAAATGTAATGTACATTAACTTATTATTTATCTATTATCTTTCACTGTATTTTTCTAATCTTTATTTAATCGGTAAAAGACGCACGTCATGGTAAGTCATTTGTCTAGCTTTTGACATTTCATTTTATTTCTTAACTTTTACAAATTCTGACTTAATGGCAATATACTGCATAACACGTTACTTTTTTCTTCTCTACTTTGCCAAATTCTACATTGGTGGTTTGCTGTAACTTCTCCACTATGGTTACATTTGTCACACCTCTTTTTTGCGCGCCCCACCCCGAGGGATAAATGCGCAAGAGAGTTTTTTCAATTTAAGTGACAATATTCGAAATGAGATTATTTAATTTATTTCAGAGTCGCCACTTGGGGAAAGGTTTGGCTTTTGGTGTCCCAAGTCACCGGTTTATATTCGAGAAGAATATTCGACTTTCCAAGTGAAGTCTGCGAACCAGAAATTCTAAGTAAGGAATTCTGTTGACCCGAGGGAAGGTGTTAGGCACCCCCGAATCCCGTGGTTCTAGCACGGTCGCTTAAATTGTCGTATTTGCTAAATATCTGATTTTAAATACATGTTGTGACTTATGTGCTTTCATTAACATTAAACCGCTTTTTTTTTTATTATTATTATTATTATTATTATTATTATTATTATTATTATTATTATTTATTTATTTATTTTTTTTATTTTTTAAAGACTTGCAGCGTTGTGAAAATATGTCCTAAACCACGCCACAACTAGTGTACCCGTGTTTGTTGACATACCTCGAATCCGTTGAGATTTGGATTTGAGTCACATAAATGCAGACCCGAATTTAGTGAAGGTAAGATTTAATTAAAACGCGTCCTAAAGAGTCTAGCGCATTATTATTTTGGGAAAAGTCGTGATATTTGCTAAACGGCTCATCCTGAAATCTAAGCAATTAATATGTACATTTGATGAGGGCCCCGCAATTTGTGCATTCATTATTCGTTGAGGCACACCCCGTTCTTATTTTAAAGGATTGTCCTGAAATGTCTATGTTATCTATTTATGTGTGTCTCTACAACGAATAGGAAATCCGATTATTTACATGCTGCTGTTGTTATTTATCCTACTGCGTATGTACTGCTTTTAGAAAATAGGGAAGGGATAACGGATCGGGCCTCAAGACTGTCGTTGGCCCAGGTCTGCGTGAAGGGCATTGGTATTGGACTTGGGCCTCCTTAGTTCGAACCTAGAGCTGGGTTACATGTAATTGTGTTTGTAGTTTTATAACAGAGAACAACAGAAGTAAGCTGAAATTATTACGTGTAGAGCAAAGACTGAACTAGAACTCAGGTACTAGTTGAACATAGACATGCTGGGTGATTTACATAAATTTGACTATCATTTACAGCTTCTAAAGAAAATGAAACTAATCTGATTATCCCAAAGTGCTACCACAGTATACGATCAAGTATTTAGCTATCACATGAGTTCAACACTTTAAACCTACTACAGATTCAAGCTAACTAGTGTGTTGCAGTTAACTGTACATTTCAAGTAGGCCCAGAAATAGTTATATAGATAGAAAACTACAAGGTAAAATTATCATCAATATCTTCAAGCTCTAAAACTCTCTTTCATTCATGCTTCAGTGTTTGAGCTACATTGTACCAATTAAGGGAATGTGTACCTGAAATTTAACCAAAGAAAAATGGAGTATCAGTGTGAGAAATATAGGCAGCAACAACATCAGATTTCAGCAACACCACAGCAACAAAAACCAGCAGCAAACCAATTCAAATTCAAAGCCCAAAAGAGTTTGAAAACCGAGCAGAAACCCAGAAAACCAATCACACACAGCTTGACTACCAATCAGACTTGAAATTTAACCCAACTTCACAACAAATTCAGCAAACAAACCAATTGAACTTGAAGCCAAACAGAACTGGAATAACAGGTTCCAGAAGAAGCTCCAGTAAATGGAAATCAGGAGAAAAGATCAGAGTCAATTAACTAAACTCGAAACACGAATCAAGAACCAATGGAACAGGAAAGAAAAACTCTCTCAATATGCTCTAAAAATTATTTTCAACCTCCAGCCCCTATCTCAGTCCTAAATGAACCTATATATAGGCTAAGAAAGCCTCTAGACTCTGCAGAATTTCAAACCTGTCCATACCTTATCCCACATGCATAAACACTCTCTTCTGATACCCACCATTACCTCCACTGAGGTTTCTTAGTGTTTTCTGACTGCAGAGGGATGGGGGAGAGTATATTATTGTTTGAAAACCCATGCCCTGACATTCTGCCATCCCAGTGATCTTTAAACTAATGGCCTATGATAGACCACTAAGCAAAACCAACTCAGGCCATGTGACAGCCTATTAAGCTGTCCAACATACCATAAAAGCCTTTTTGATTATTAACTGTTAATTCTAAGTCTAGGAGTCTGAAATCATTACTATATAGCATAGTGTTTCAATTCTAATTTCAGTTCCTAATTTCAGGAGTCTACAACTAATACCAATTCCAATTCCATTCAGAGAGTGCTTTCAAAGAAAAAATTGAAACACCTTGGTTCAAAGAGGAAAACTGAACATATCAAACGAGTTCATTCCAATCACAAAAACAACCCAGAAGAAAACAAGATGATAACCATACTGGAATGAGTTCGAAAATGCCCTGTTATCATGCTTCTTCCAATCAGATTAACCAATCGACAATGCTTCTATGTGCGACTACAAAGTTTATGTACAACAAACAACAATCAGAATTAAACATACACACAAGTGATTCCGAGGTATTGACTAAACAAAGAGTGAACTGATTAATCGATGAAAACCATTCAAATCGATTCACATAGTTTACTTAAACAAACAGAAAAAATGACCAAATAAAAAGGTCGGAGAAGAAGAAGAAGAACTAATGAACAAAAACAGGATTATAAACAACACTTTAAAACAAAGAATCAATAATCCGAAAAATATAATGAACAAAACAAGATTAGCCAAAACTTTAAACCAAAACAATAACAGAAGATGGATCAAATGAATGTCTTGAGAGAAAAATCTGAAAATTGAAAGAACTCAAGCCGAACTCGGATTTAAGCTCTTGGAGATCTAACGGACTGTTTGTGGGTGTTGTTGCTCGTTCAAGGACGAGTTGGAACTCGACGAAGCAATGGTCGTGGTCGAGCTAGTTCTTGGACATGGACTTTTTCAGGAGTCGTTTGGGACGGAGAGCAGCAGCCATGGAGGAAGACGGACGGAGGGAGACGGGCAGCAGCTGGTCGTTGTGTGTCGCTGCTATTCGCTGCTGTCCGGCGTCGCTGGTTCGTCTGTTGTCCGGCGTTGCTGGTTCGTGTGGTGTTTCTGGTGGTTTGAGATGGGTCGTTTGTGGCTACTGGTCGACGACAATGTCTACCAGGTCGTGGCTGCCATTTTTGGCGCAACAGAAGCATCAACGGGGACGATGAAGCTCCGGACGAAAGGAACCATGGAGGGCAGCGACGATGAGATTGACGAACTGGTCGTTCGTTGGCTTGGAGGGCTGGACGTCATCGTGCGACTGGGCAGTTGACGACGCCATGGCTGGGTGGCGGTGGTCTTAGTTGGTTAGGGTTCATTTATCTTCTTCAAAAATGAAGAAGACGAAGTGCTATTCTCTTTCTTTGTTTTTGATTTACAGAATGTGTATAAACAAGAAGTTGTATGTGATATATGTTTTATTATTCAAAATCAGTCAAAATTGTCTTCCATGGGGCTTGAGCTCAATAAAATTGAGAGGCTCAATGTAGCCTTTGTCCCCCCATTCTTCACATCGTGTTCCGTCCGTGTCCCCCACGTGTGGTGGACTCAGATTATTATGGGCTAGGCCCGAAAACTAGGCCTACAAATGGATCGTTTGAACCCGAATGTTATTCCTTGCCCGGAGCCAAGAATAAAACACGACGTTACTTATTACTCCTAAATAAGAAAAATAACTATTAAAATGAGACTCGTAATTAAAAAAAAACATTTTTTGTATTTTTTCAAGATTAAAATAACTACAAAATATTGATGAAATTATATATATATATATATATATATATATATATAAATATTTTTTATTTGTATTTTCATTTTTTTAAAATAAAGACAAAAATATATAAGTACTATTTTTTATATTTTTGAGGATTAACATGACTATAAAACATTAATGACACTATTTTTTGTAATTTTTATTTTTAAATAAAGACAAAATATAAGGTACTATTTTTGTATTTTTTAAAGATAAAAATGATTATAAAACATTATTGAAGCTATTTTTGTAATTTTCGTTTTTTTTAAATAAAGACAAAAATATAAGGTACTATTTTTTATATTTTTTGAAGATTAAGATGACTATAAAATATTAATGAAATTATTTATTTTTGTATTTTTTATTAATTCAACAAATAAACATGCACAATCAAGGCGCACAATACATGAAAAGTAACACAAAATTTACAACAATTGCAAAAAATAATTAAAAAAATATTTTATTTTGAATTTTTAGGAGTAATTTATACAAGGCAAAAATCACGTGCTCACAACATTATGTGACAAGAATTGAATTGGGCTAATGCGGAAAAAAATAATAATTCTACAGGTGCCAATCATTCAAATTCTTTACGTATCAATGTACATTGACTAATTAGTACAACTTGATTTCTACTTTTGATTGCAACTCTAAATACTTTCTGATTTTGTTTGATTGGTAAGTCTGTGTGACAATTGTTAGTTATGATTATCCGGATTCCCCACCGCCAGGATCGTGATGACGCTTACTCGTAAAAGCTAGGTAAGCCAACAAATACATTCTAACACATTGATTATTAGCCCAAACGGTAATAAATTGAAAATGAAGCTAAGCAGGTATAAAATGCGGAAGTTCCATAAGTCCTTAAGTTCTGAAACAAGGTTTCCTGCCGATCTCGTATCACAATATCACGAACATCCAAAGATCCGACAAAAGTTGGTTTAAAGGAACTACAACTGTTCTTAAAATGAAAAGAGACAATATATCTATAACATAAGGAAGTGAACTCCGGAGTCTGCGAGCACCGACAGATCTACCTCGGGTCTCCTGTACTAAAGGAAGCAACCCACGATCTACTCACGAGGTCCAGCATCAAAATCTACACAGAAAATGTAGAGTGCAGTATCAATACAACCGACCCCATGTACTAGTAAGTGTCAATCCTAACCTCGGCAAAGTAGTGACGAGGCTAGGACACGACAATCTTATAAACTATACAGTTGAATCATATACGAACAAAGCAATAATAACATGAATAAACAGATAAAGACGGGAATGGGGACATGCTGTCAGGGAATATCAAGTTGTAACAGTAATTAAATAGAGAATCATAATGAACACCATATTTGTATCGACAAGAATAATGAAACACTAACACGTGCATGACATCACCCTTCATGATTTTGCTCTCATCCTCACTATAAGAAACAACAGAATCGGCACAACATCACCCTTTGTGCATTATCTCTCAAATCATGGCATGACATTGATAACTAGGCATTTTGATGTATTTCATACTCCTTCTTTCTTACGCTTTGATAATAAATTCTTATAAAATAGTCCCAAAAGGCTCATACGTTGTGCTTGATTGAAGGTTTGATCGACAAAGTGACGAGACGTCAAAGATTGGCTCAAAAGGAGTAAAACCCGCACAAGTACCAAAGACAAGGAAAATTCAAGACAAACAGGGGCCGCACTACACTTTGTGCGGTCCGCACTATGGAGATTCAGAAAACTGACAAATCAAGAGTCAAAGCAGTGTGGCCGTAGTGGAGATTGTGCGGTCCGTACTGAAGGCCCCTGATAAGTTGGTATTTTACCGACTTATCTTGCCTTTAAACTATACTTTTGCTATTATTATGGCGATAAAATCATGCTTTTAATGTCTATTACTCCTACTTTATAGGGTGAAGGTGATTTAGGAGTGATGTCGAATAAACCAGTTGAAAATGACTCAAAATGAAGCCAAAAGAAGGGAAAGAACCTGGGCAGCCTTATGACTTCACAAATGCAAAGTGAATGTCGCAATTGCGACCACAGTGAAAAAAGAAGGACCTTCGCAAATGCGAAGTATTGATCGCAATTGCGATCCTCAGGCAAAAGAAAAATCTTCGCAAATGCGAAGTAAATTTCGCAAATGCGAATCAAGCTGATGATCAAAGTAATTCGCAAATGCGAAGTAAAGTTCGCAAATGCGAACTTAGCTGGAGACTAAATGACTTCACAAATGCGAAGTAATTTTGGCAAATGCGAAGTATGTGCTTCAAACATGGGTATATTTGGAATTTTACATTTTCTATTCCCAACTCAGTTAAGACCCGACTTGGGGTCATTTGTGAAGACATCTAGGGTTGATATTTTGAGATACTCTTAATCTTGAGAGCATTTTGTATTGCTTAGACTAGAAGATAACAAGGTTGAAGCTTTTGATTGAAAATTTCCTCATTGTAAGCATTAATGACTCTATTTCTTAGTTTGAGTTTGTATTTTAGCATGTCTAGCTAAGTTCAAATACTAAGGTTGTGAACCCTAAATGAGTGTTTTATTAATGGGTGTTTACCATTGATTATCTATATAATGGAAGGTTGATATTTATTTACTTCTCATCCATCATTCATTGTTGATGGTTGCAAACACCCACAAAAGCCATTAAATTCTTGCTTTACTTAGGAAAGTGAGTTAGAATTTGGAAGAAGTAATTATCAATGACTCAAGGTGTTAAACCTTGTTTTATAAAATCGCTTAGGAATAAGTGGGTTTTAATTGACATGTATTGATTGATCTTAATTGCTACTCTTTTATATTTGGAAAAATTATAAAGAGAAATACTCCTCATTTATTGGGAAATAATGGATAGTATCTTAGACATCAATTGCATATCTTAATGACCATCCATTAGAAAGATATCATATTAACACTCGTTGGCATTACACTACATTGAAGGGGACACAACCTTGGTTGCTTTTATCCAATTGTTAAATCATTAATTGCTGAATCTAGTGTTACTTAAACGCATTCAAACATACATACTCTTGTTACCATATTTTCTTGTCACCGTTAACTGGATAGAAATTAAACTAGAGTGAGCAACACACTAAACGAGTAAACTTTTCACACCTATTCCTTGTGGGATTCGACCCCAACCTTGTTGGGTTATTATATTTGACATCGACCGCCTTACACTAATTGTCAAAATGTAACTTGAACGTATCAAATTTTGGCGCCGTTGCCGGGGAATACGGTTTTTGAAATTACTAGTTAGTGTGTACTTTACTTAAGTTTATTTCTATTCCATCACACTTTGCTTGCTTTGCTTGGTGTTGATAGGAACATGTCAGATATTGAAGAAGAGCAGGAGGGAGGATTGGGAGAAAATCCCTTTGCAGATATTGAAGAATATATTAATGATACAAATGCCATTGTGCCTCCGACCGTTAGAGCGTCTACATTCAAAGTTGAACATGGATTAATTCTTATGCTAAAAGCAGAGGGGTTCTTTAGAAATTCCACTAATGATGATCCAACACAACACATTAGGAACTTTTTGGGTGTGTGCGCAATGCATAAACAAAACCATGTATCAGACGATGCCCTTCGGCTGAGGTGCTTCAAATATTCTTTAGCTTGAGATGCAAGGAGATTGCTCCAGAATCTAGATCCAAACTCTATCCATACTTGGCCCGAGCTTGTTCGAGCATTTTTGTCCAAGTGGTTCCCGGAAAGTAAAAAATCAGAATTGCGGGACAAGATCTTCTTCTTTAAGCAAATACAAGGAGAGCAGCTGCATGAGGCGTGGGATCGCTTCAAATTATACTTGGTGAGGTCTCCAAACCATGGGTTCCCGGATTCCATGTTATTGGAAAAATTCTATATGGGTTTGGATCCTATGAACCAAGCCACAGCCAAGAACGCAGCCGATGAATCCTTTATGGATAAGTCCTTTGCTAGAGTGGCACAGATCCTAGGCAAAATGGCTAAGCATAATGAAGCATGGCATTCCGACGATGCCACCAGCGGAATATCTTATGGCTCTCCTTCCTTAAGCAATCTGATCAAAGAAAATCAAGAGAGAGATCAAGTGATTGACGAACTTGCTACGAATGTCAGTGTGCTTACAAAGATGCTAACAGATAATCAGACAAAGAAGGTGAATGCAGTGGAGGATGTTCCTCCCAATTTTGAGGAAAGTTTTGAAGAGGCAAACTACATCAACAACCCTCATGGAGGGTATCAAAGGCAACAATACCATGGTCCTGGGCAACAAAACCAATGGAGGCCAAACCCGCAAGGGCAAGGCAACCAACAGTGAAGAAATGACCAAGGTAATTCTCAACAAGGGAATTGGAACAACAACAACAATTTTGCAAACCAAAGCTCCAATCCTTATGTTCCCCCAAAAGGTCAATATGCAATTCAAGGGGCGTTAAGTGACTCAAAGATAGAAAGCATGCTTGAGAGAATCTTGCAAAACCAAGAAAAAACCGACACTTCCTTGAGAAACGTCAACGAGGTGGTTAGTTCTCATACCGCATCTATCCAAAAATTAGAGATGCAAATGAGAGACCTCTCAAGAGAGCAAAATCCAAAGCAAAAAGGGCAATTTCCAAATGATACCATTGTGAACCCAAAAAGCGGTGGAGGTGGCTCAACATCTCATGTCATGGCAATTACTACTAGAAGTGGTAAGATTCTA